ATGAATGGAATCACATTAATTTATCTTTCGAGTGATCAGTATCCCTCAATAATCTGGTGCTTTCCATGAAAAGGGATTTTGTGAAGGTGCTGGCCATGAATGGAATCACATTAATTTACCTTTCGAGTGATCAGTATTCCTCAATAATCTGGTGCTTTCTCGACATTGTGGGGGGACTTAATTTTGAATTATGGATACTTGGTGATGCTTACATGCTGATTAGAGTAGTGCTACTTTGTACATTAATTCTTTTATCAGTGAGTAAGCAAAAAACAAGGTGAATATCCATTTCTGATTCTTATTATGATTGAAAATATGGCTGAATATTGTTATGACCAAAGCTATAATGGAATACTAATATGACCAAAATATTCAAAAATATTACTATGACCAATAGCCAGGGATGAGCAATCTTCTCTAGGAAGAAGTCATATAATAGCATGGTGGATATCCTGCAAATCAGTAGATGCCCTTTAACTTGCAGTCCGTGTTACCCTCCATTGGATATATTCTTCTAGTGCTTCAAATTTTGATATCAATCGGGATGAGGTTTGAAAGTATATCATGATCATGTTGCATTATGGAGCGCCATGATATCTTCAATGTGTTGAATACCCTTTCATGGTTGGAATTTAGATTGCTATCTGATGACCTCTTATTTCCATTTATGGACTTCATACTCTAGTGTCTGTGATTGAAAATTGAAGTGGATACCTGGTTTCTAATGTACTGATTTTTTCCATGCAAGGACTTTAACCACCATTGTCGAGGTTAATACCTTAGTGGTGGATAAAATGTTGCAAGAGGATTGCCATTGGGAAGGGACCACAGAAACGATTTGTTTCTTTTAATGGAAATGCATAGAATTTTGCAAGAGGGTACTGGGTATTATAGTGGTGAAGCTGCTGTGTCTGTTGCTTAAAATGGCGCAAACAGATTGATATGTGAGGTAAAAGAGAGACACTACTAGGAAAACAACAAATTGGTGGGGGACCAGGATCCATGAAAAATCCCTTCCACAACTTCTTGTGAGAGCTAATGTGTCAGTGAGGCCAGTAGCCAATCTCGGGGCATTCTGAAAGCTCACTTGCTAATTTTAATGCATGTTTATATCTCATCCAACGTGTCTGCTAATCGTGGGGTACTTTCGCATTTCAGGAGTTAAGGAATCACCATCAACTAGTAGCGGACCACAGAAAGGCTGGAGGAATATGCACAGTCCCATGAGAAATGCCAGAGCTTCGGCTTTATCTTTGATTAGTTACTCTTTTGGGAAAGGGGCTGGGGTCGTGGTGGTAGCACCCCACACATCAGTCACCACGTTGTGGTTTCCATCCATGCTACTAACACCATCCCACTAATATCTAAAAATAGCTAACTCTTAATCTACTCGAAAAAATGGGTAGCGGCCTGTCTTCCTCGCTGAATTACTCCCCCCAAAAAAAAAATGCCAGAGCTTCGGCCTTATTAGCATCTCCACTCCCAGCTGGCTTTGTTTAGATAACCAAAGTCTCTTCCAAATGGCCTCTATTCCCAAAGGGTCTGGGGTGCTCAATGAGGTCCTAATGAAATTAAGCTTGAGAACCCCAATTGGAGGCTTGCTCCATGAGACGTGTAGGTGCCCCGTTACGCTATTCACCAGTTCATTCCATCCTCTCACCAAATCCAATGCCCAAAGACCTTGGAATTCTTTTCTAGCTAAGGCCCATGGAATAGTCATGTGCCTAACTCGATCCCCTACTGTTGTGGCCTAAGAATGTATGCACTAAAAAGATTCTTCCATTCTGTTCTAACCATATAGCTTATAGGATGACAGCAAAGCTGAGTTTCCATAATGCCCCTTTTGCGAGATAGGACCAAACCTCCAGCTCGATAACACGTTTGTAATTGATTTCGGAAATATCATTTAAATGTCAAAGAGATCCAATATATAAAGTCAAAGGATCATACCAGAGGAGCAATGAATAAATAGGTGGTTCACTGAGTCTTAATCTTCTTGGCAACTGATACATATATGTGGATATATATGACTCTGTGCTAGAAATGATCCCCCATAAGAGTTTTGTCTCGAGAGCTTTGTCTAAGACTGCTCAACATCCAAAGTATCGCACTTTATGAAAGGTGTTAATATCCCACACCAAGTATCCTTTTGAGGGGCCCATGCCTCTTGGGATAAGGCACAGGCTTATGATTGCACTGAAAATTCCCCCTTTAAAGTCATGTCGACACATAAGTCTGCGAAGGCCATATCTGGGTACATACGTTTAGTTCGAATTGTCCAAGAGTGCACTAGGTTCTCAGTTTCTAAATCATTTGAATTTTCTTCGAAAGGCTCGGGCCCACAAAAACTTCCATAACATCTACCAATGCTTGCCTCTTGTGCTTGGGCTACACAATTAAAGAGTAGCAAAATTCTCTTGGATATGTTTCTTTACACCAACAGTCGTACTAAAACAAAGCCTGATCACCCTCCCACAACAATTTCGAGTTCTTCCCTGAAATGATTGTGCCCTTGATGGAACAGAATATCATACAGTTGATGGTCATCAAATGATTTCTTGGGGCATTTCACAATGGGTACTGTAGTTTCCTGTGGAATCCCCAAGAAACTGGGAGGCCTGGAAACCGGGGGAAAATGAAACTGGTGGCCTGGGAATTGGAACTCCTTGTTTGGTAGCCTGTTTGGGTTCCCTGGTGTAGGCAGTTTCTCCAGGAAACTAGGAGGCCTGGAAAGTAGGGGGAAATGAAACTGGTGGCCTGGGAATTGGGAGCTTGGGTTCCCTGGTGCTCCTCCTTTCTCCCGCGCTCCCCTTTCTTTTCTCTTGCCAATAGTTGCTTTGATGGTTTCCTTTAGGATGGGTTTTATTTTTTGGATTACTCATTTTCAGCTCAAATAACTTGTCAAATATTGGTATTGAATGTTGTTATCCGTTGTCAAACAATTCAGTGTCATCACATGTGGTCATCACTGATCAAAGACTCAATCCACATTGACCATCACGCGAAGGTGTCCTGAGTCATCCCCACAAAAGTCATCCACATATTTATGAAATAAAGATAAACGCTCATTCTCTGATACAGGGAGCCAGCGTCATAAGTCCTAATTCACATTGATCGTCTGTGAAGCACATAGTCATGAAGGGTAAAGTTTAATTCCCTCGTACAGAATTTTATCCCCATGAAATCAACATAGCACATAATTATGTAAGAAATATTGAAGTTAATCCCATGCTTCTTACTCCCAAGGCTTTACTTGTCAAAATTGTTGGTATGGAAAGAAGGGGTAATCTTGGATTGTCACCATTAATGCCTTTTGGATCATGGGAGAGGTGACATTAGGTGGTCAGACCCTGGGTGGTTTCTTCTACCACAGATTTTCTTGACAAGTAATGGCAGTGTCAAAAACTTAAGAGCTGTTTTTTTATGGGGTCTTGAATGCTGTGTGTTTCGATCCTGAACCCCAAAAATTGGAGGTAGGAAAACACCTTAAATGTAAGAGGTTAACAAAGAGTGAGTTCTGTACTCATTATGAAAAATCAGTCTACATCCCTATGTGGGTGGTAGAATTAAGAGGCCGAAGTTGTGGTGTTGAGGGCTTGGTGCACGTTTCAAGCAATGGGGACTTCGGCAGCTTTGTATGTGCTTGGCTTTGTAAAATGGTGACCTTGGATTTGGTTTGGTAGGAAAACTACTCTTCATGGTCACAAATGAGTTTATTACAGTCATTGAACTTCTGGCCTCTGGTGGGTGGTCCTAAGTTTATTTATTTATTTGCTTTCCTTTATTCTTCATTTATCTTTGGTGACAGTTCTCTGGGAAGGTTTCTAGTAAGCGGCTGAGTCTTTGGGTCATCCATCTTTAAGAATGATTTCTTGGCCTGGACATGGTTGAGTTCCATTTTTATTTGTTCGGTGAACATGATAAATTGTTATTATTGCCTGTGAAAGCCTAGCTCTGTATTTTTAGCAGAACATTAGATATCCTTTGGGTTTTCCTTATTGAACTTGGCGATTGTGTTCTTTTTAAACAACTTGCCAATTATTTTGTGCTGCTTGTTCTCTGATATTTTTTTGTTCTCCATTGGCAGATTAACTCGGGTATATGCTTTGACCTATATGATGTTTGACTTTCTAGACAAGTATAATGGATTATTGATCATCAGACTTTGGCTGCAGGTCGCTCACGCTCTCGTTCGTTGTCCCGTTCTCGCTCTCCACGTTACCATTCCACTTCTAGAGTTCGATACCGTTCAAGGTAATTTGAGAGACGTTACCATTCCACTTCTAGAATTCGATACCGTTCAAGGTAATTTGAGAGAGAGAGAGAGAGAGAGAGAGAGAGAGAGAGAGAGTAGTATAAGTAACGTACTATAGTTGTTGTCGACGTAGTACTTACCTTACCTCCTACCGACGTACCGTACCGGAACGGGACGGGAGGACGGTACGTTATTTACTTTCGTTTCGTTTACCG